GGTTGAAAACGGAAAGCACACACTGCACAAGAAATGAGATCGATTACGGTAGAAGTAGAGAAAATAAATAAAAGTGGCCTAGGAAAAATCTAGGCCACCAGCACACAAACTAAAATTTTNNNAAAACGGGACAATTTCACTTTAGGCATTTCTGTTCCGTCCAATTTATACTTCCGGACAGTTCTGATCTCGCACAGTTTTCAATTTGGAACCATTTTGATTTAGGAAATGTTCATTATACTACAGTTTCCTTTTAGGAAATCTCCAATCAGTCCACCGAATTTGTAGAAAAACAATACTGTATTTAAAGGCGCATGACGACAACTCTGCATTGTGCTTTGAACGGATAAACATTTCATTTTACATGCGCCTTTAAACTACCGTACTTTACTCAAACTTTTTAGCACTGGATTTTCTCCGTTTTTTGCATTTTTCACCAGTTTTTCTTCAATTTTTCACAATTTCTCGTTGCAGAATGTCATCCCATCTCAAGAATCTGACTGAAAATTTCGAAAATTTGGCAATAAATCCAATTTTCAACACGAATTGGTGTGATATGCCGGCAGAAATCAAAGTGGAATGTGTTGGAAAAATGGAACTCACCGAGAGGTTAAATTGAACAATTATCGATCAATTACCCAACTTTTTTTCAGATTATCGCTTAGAAGCACCGCGAAAGCCGAACGGTCGCTCGTCGATTCGCAGAAAATCAATATTCGTAGATGTGCTATTCACGGACTTCCAGAAATCCGAAGAGTAACTCTCGCTTCAAAAACCGGAAAGATAGTTTTTAGAGCATTTAGAAGTGCGAATAAAGAATTCGAGTTTTTAAAATATATTTGGAAAATCGGAGTTTTCGAAAACCTCTATATCTGGTTGGATGGAAAGGATTCCAAGGAGAAACTTGAGAATTTCAATGGAACGATTGCAGCGAAAAGTATCGATTTTCATTTTTGTGATGAAGAATTTATAGTAGCTATTCTTGGAAAAGTGAAAAATGGAGTCGAATCGATAACGATGAATGCTGATAGAGGAATCAGCTACTCTGTCAATGAAATTCTTAAAATCTCTCATGTAAGAAAATATTCATAATTTAGACTCAATTTTTTCGAACTTTTCAACATTTACAGGTTCAAAATGTCAAATACTGGCAGATCGATAACTACAAACGAATGAGTGTTCTTTGGAAGGTAGCTCAGGTACCATTCGAAAATTCTTTCAAAAAAGTCAATAATTTTTCAGGTTTGGATCGATATAAGTTCAAAAATCGGAACTACTTTTCAATTGTCCACCGAGGTTTACGGATTATTTCATGAGTTTTTGCAGCATTTTGTCGATCGTATTGTGTAATTATTATTGATTTTTTGTTTAATTTCAATTTTTCAAATTTTCAGGTCAATAAGCCAAATAAGAGTTCGAATTCGTACCAACCACCCGGATCGTCACATTCTTCTGGAACTTGAATTCGATGGATTCGTTGAATTTCAGCATTCGTTCAAATTTTTTCGTCTGATGGTGATTTCTGCAAAAATGGAGGAATCTGAATACGAAGATAACTGTAGAAAGTGGATTCGGAGAATGAAACCGGAGTTTTATGTTGATGATATGTAGAATTATTGAATGTTGATCTTGTTTTGAATAAAATTGTTTTATGATTTTACGCCAATGTCAATTTCCAGAAAAATGATGCTAAATGCTAACTAAACGTCTTGGAATCACTTATGGGGTTATGCAGATAATAAATTTGCAATAAAAATGGCAAATAAATACTATGCACGTATGCAAATAAATTATTTTATTTGCATCCAAAAAGCGAATTTAATTGCATTCCTGGGCGTGATTTCTTTGATTCCTCAAATTATTGTGTTAATACGGCGAAAAAGCCTCATGAGTCTGATATTGTAACTGGAATATTTGGGAAGTTAAATAAAACACTTGGCCTTTTAGGATATGACAGCCAATACTCGACAGAAAAAAGTTGCTGCTGCTCTCCTACTATTGCAGGAACAAGAATCCGTTTTACTTACTGTTTGTCGTCCGTATCAGTTGGAAGAAGGGCTTGAAGTGATCCGTCAAGATCTGTTTTCTACTTTTTTACGGTTGAATCAATATATGATTTCGACCGAACAAACGAAAGTGAGAAAATCGGTTGAAAATTTTTATAGAATAGTCTTCAGAAATATCTGGGTGTGGAACTTGAACATTTTAACTTTCTGCGAAATCTTTGTTCTGACGACATCAGTAGAATCGATTCAATTCCAGCTCCAGTCCGTATTCATATTTTTTTGAAGTATGCTCGTGAAGGTAGTGAAATGTATATATCACTAGACTCACCAAGATAACTTTAGGTAGATCCCAGAACTATCTGGCTCAGGATCTTGGTATAAGTCTGTCTATAGTGTCACGAATAGTAAATAATGTAGTAGACAAGCTGGTGAATATTCCCTACAAGCATTAAACATCTAAGAGCTCTTGAGAGAGGATTTATGAGTAAAACTGATGCAAATGGTAATTATAAAAGAATTCCTTGCTTTGGCATTTGCGACGGCAAACACTGGGCAATAGAACCCCTCCCAACAGTGGAAAACTGAACGCCAACTTACAAGGCGTTTTTTTTCATTCAACTCGTTAGCTGTGTGTGTCATCCTTCCTGGGCCAGCACAGTTTGAGGGGGAGCTGGAATTTCTGGTTAGTCGTGTTGGTGGAGATGATGAGAGCATGTACAGGGTTGTTAAGAAGTCGTCGTGTATTTGTCTGCAAAAAGTGAGAGTTTTTCATCTAATTAATACGTTTTTTTTTTTTGGAAAAATCTTTAGGAGAACTGTCATTGTCATTGTGGGGCATGTGGATACAGACACTCATGCACATGCCTTGTCCAAGAGACAGGTGTGTGCTGTAAGCACATTCATATGGTGATTCTTAGAAACGGTAGTATGACACCTAGTTTTTTTCTGAAACTTACCTGTACTCCAGTTTCTCTTGTCGACGTTGATCAGGCTGAAAAAGAAAAGATGCTGTTTTTGTTTATGTTTTTTGTTGTCTTTTCTGTTGCTTTGTTATTGATTGTCTTGTTTTGTTGTGTTTGAATGAAATTGTTTTTTAAACAAATTTTGTGATTTTACATTTTTATAAACAAGATATGAGCGAAAAAGGAATATTTGTTTGTGAATATTAGTCTATTTGCTCCATTGATTGAGAACAATTGTCATGCGACCAGATTTGAACGCGCGCGCAACAGAGGGTGTGCAGATGCGCTCCGCTGGAAAACTACCGAAAAAATTTCGGCTATTTACGCCGCAGTGATTTCATTAGTTTTTCGTTACAGAATGTCATCCGATATCAATAATTCATCGAAAATTACTGAGAAATCAACTGCTGAACCAATTTACGACTCGAATTGGTGCGATATGCCGGACGATATTAAATTGGAGTGCATTGGAAAAATGGAGCTCTGCGAGAGGTAAAAAATGATTAACTATCGAATAATTTATACCGAAATTTCTTTCAGATTGTCGCTTCGGTGCTCTGCAAAAGCTGAACGATCGCTCGTCGATTCACAAAAAATCGAATTTCACGAAGGCGTATTTTTGAGAGAATATGAAGACTCAAGTTTCCTGTTTTCTCGTAATGATAAAGTAGTTTTCTGGAAAAGAACAAAAGAAATTAATGAAGCTTTCGAATTGATGAAATACATTAAGAAAGTTGGAGTTTTCGAACATCTCAAAATTTTTTCTCGAGGTGTCGCTGATTGCGAACGATTCTTGGCCGATGATGGATTGTTCACAGCGAAAAAAATGAACCTTGTGCATTGCGATATTGATAGCACGATCGCTGTTCTTCGAAAAATGAAAAATGACGTCGAATCTATCGAGATGAATGGCGATGAAATTACCTCCGGCAAACTTGCCGAAATCCTTACAATCTCACATGTAAGACAATATTCCGCTATTGCTTTTGCCCGAAATCAGTTAATGTTAATAGCTGATAAGCGAGAAATTTTCCGATTTACATTAAAAAAAGGGAAATCGTCGGAAAATTGAGAGAATAGAAAAGTAAAATTTAAAATAGGCTCAAAGAAAACGGTAGTCCGCATTCGAACATTCAAATAAAATTTCGATGAGATATTCACTAATAAATAACGTTCATTGGTTTCGGACAAGCGTAATCGATGGAATCTGTTTCTCAAAATTATGAGAAAAAATGAACTTTTTGAGATTCAAAATGTTCCCTACTGGCATATCGATTGCTACGAAGAAACGGATAGCCTTCACAAGGTTGCACAGATGTGGATTGATAAAAATTCGAAAATAGACTCTACTTTCCAAATTTCTGTCAATGCAAATGGCTCATTTGCGGAATTCTTGGAGCATTTCAAGGATCGTGTTGTGTAATTCATTTTTCTAATTGTTTCTAAAAAAACTGAAAATGATATTTTCAGATCGCAAAGTGACAGAAAAGTCCGCATTCATACGAATAATCCAGATCGTCATATTCTTCTGGAGCGTGGATTAGATGAAGTCGTCAAAATCGATTACGAAATCTACCGTCTAATGGTGATTTCTGCTGAAATGAAAGAATCTGAATACGACGATAATTGCAAGGAGTGGATTTACAAAATGAATCCTGAGATACACTACTATGATTCGGAAAGCTCATTCGAAGCGCGTGACGACGATTTTGAATGGTCTGACGGAGAGGAAGCATGAGTTTAATTTTTTGCTTTGTTTGTTGATTTTGTTGACCTTTTTTTCAAAATAAAACTGCTATTGTTTAATTTTTTAAAAATTGAAAAGAAAAGGTTGTTTTTAATGCCGCGTTCAAAGTTGATTTCCAGGAGTATGTTCCTAGAAGAAGAAAATTTACTGAAATTTGATTTTTTGAAAGTTTTTGTGTCTTTTGGCAAGAAATTAGCTTGAAAATTGGCTGAAATTGGCTGAAAATAGAGAAAAATTANCGATGGCCGAGAAAGTGGGAGTTTTCTCGGCCACCCCCCGGTGTAGTCCTCGTGGACAAGCAATTTGGTGTGTCGAAATCCGGCCGCGTCCTTGAAACTACAGTACTTCCGCTTT